GCTGTACAAAAGCCTCTTTCCGGACTCTTCCAGGGAAAAATTCCTTTAGTATATTTATGTTATTTTCCAAAATTACTTTGCACGAGTCTTTTCCTTGACAAAACGAAATCAAAAGAATGTTATCTGATTTCAATATATGCAACTTAGTTTAGTTGCCTAGATAAACATCCGTCATTTGCAGTAAACTTACAACATTCGCAATTCGTGGGCATAGTTGAAAGTCGTGCTGGTAACGTTTTGGATCCTATTGCCGAAGATATTCCTGAAACGAAGAACTTAACTATTCACAACTAACACCAAAACGGGGACTTGCAGCAGTCACATTCCTCATTCTAATAAATTCTCATGGAATTTCAGTTAAGACTACATAGATCTCCACAATGTTTGTTTCCGCTTTTTCATAATATCCACCTAGGTGCACAAAAAGTATGTTATATAAAGGCACATTTTTAGTGCAATATAAATTTAAAAAACGTTGCTTTGTTGAGGAAGATAACTGGCACCACCTCTGTTCTACATCGTGGTAAATTTGTAGACAAAAATCTCAGGTTTTGAACGCTGATATCATATTCATTCTATCACTTCAAATATTCTGGAATGTTTTGTATGTGATTAACTGTACTTACAGAGATCTGAGCTTTTTAACGCCCTTGAAAATTTTATCAGGCAGAGCCTCGATTTTGTTCTCCGAGAGATATCTTAAACAAAGGAAACAGACAAGGAAATAAATATTAAAGTACAATAACATAATATGATTGGGTAAGGCAAATTTTATTTGAGCAATGACGGAGTTAACAGTAAAATAATATTACTGTATACGGTTTGAGATTCAGGTCATTATGGAAAATGGTTTAAACTCTAAATGCACTTACAAATCTAATAGCTCCACCAAGCCCTGGAACTGATCTTCATGAAGCTTCTCAATTTTGTTGTACTCCAGTTTCCTGGAGAAAGCATGATGGGAATTTTAGACTGAAATATGCTCATGTGGTAGCGATATCTTTAGCTCTACTTTTTTTAAAGTAAAATCTGTGGTTAAGGCAGGGAATGGCAACGTTTTCCAGTAAAATAGCTCCCAATCTTTATATCGTAATGATCAAAGAACACATTAGACTTATCTATAATGATCTCAAGATTAAGCGCGAAAACTCTCAAGTTCACTCTCTGTTACAAATTATAAAATTAGTGCTGTAGTGTATTGCGTTACCTAAGCGTTACTATAGTCACGCTATATCCTGTAAGACACGATCGGTACATGATTGTAAAAGTACATTCCTATGTAAAAGTAGTATTACTGATTCCTAGTATTGTATTGTGAATATAGCTTGTTGATTCTTTAATAAAATTCAGTTGAGCAATAGCAATGAAAGGAGTAACTTGACTGAGTCGAGACGACACAACAAGTGCCAGGGTAGTTTGATCTGGCAATATAACAAATTCTGAGATATTGTCAACTCGAATAAAAAGGAAACTAAAAAACCTTTGCCTTCAAGGAGTAAATTACAATGTAAGTTGTCTTTTACTAAGAAGCTATTATAGTCACCAAGTGCTGTTATTTTCAAGAAAATCCTTTAAAACAATTTTTAATATTTTGGGCCGATATCAATCTTACTTACAGAAATTTTACCGCTACAATGTTTCTGAAAGCATACGCTGGCAGATCTTCAAGTTCATTGTTTGATAAATCCCTGAAAACAATTATTACACAGTTACAAAGATTTCGCTTATGTTAGAGCTACCAACTGAAATCTGGGAATCGTTAAGGTTGCTATTTAAACAGAAGCTATTAAATTCTTACACAACAAAGTAACTTAATATTACTAACCAAAGCACAAGAAATACATAAGATAGCATCGTCTACTTCAATTAAGATTTGCAAATACGAGCTGGAAAACTTCACGATGTTTCAACTGTGATGGCTGTGCTTTTAAAAAAATATATTTTAAGAACGATCATTTGGTTCTGTCCAATTATCTCCTTGGTTAAATAGCTAACTCACTTACAGATATGTCAGCTTGGAAAGGCTGTTAAAAAGTCCGTCTGGTAGGCTCTTCAACTTGTTATTTGACAGATAGCTGATAGGAATGACGAAACAAGAAAATGCATTTTCATTAAGTCTGCAAACTGAAATTTATAGGTAAAAATACATGAAGATTCTGGTCATCAGAAACAACCAAAGAACAAAGAGCAGTACGTAGTGATACACATGCAATGTTTTGTCTTATAGTACAGAGAATATTCAAGATTCACTTCATTCATTTAGTTCGGTCAATATTATGACGAAAAGCAATTGAAGGCCGCTGAAGACTTGAGATCTGCGTGCATACTGAATTCTTTTCCCCAACACTGGCAATGGCTGCCTCTCTTGGATCAATAATGAAATCATTAAGCTCGTAATCTAAGAGAGAAAGATAACCCATAAAAACAACTCTGATATTCATAACATTGTGACGATAGGTTTTCGCTCGCTAACTGGAAAACTGAACCTTCGCGGACGGCACAATAACAACTGGGGGAAATAACTCTGTAGAGACGACTTGGCAGCGAGAACGGAAACTCGTCACGATTTCCTGGTACACGGAGATCTACTTCGAGCGAGCTTATACGGACGTCAAGGATAAGACAATCTTTGGTCCCACAGTACTTTTATTCTAGGTCAGGCCAACAAGCGACATGACCTCTAGCATACTCTAGGTTGTAATCATCGAAGCTGTACAAGGTACTTGCTTACGAAGTAACTGGTGTGAAGTGCTATTGTTACACAAATCGCAATATTTGAATAAGGACACAAAGGAGCGGAAAAAGTCTCTTTGAAGTTAAACGAAAACTACTTAAATATTCCATCTGTTTCTACGACGGAAAGAATCTCAAAAATTAAAAAGACGGATGCAATAAACTCTAGGCCATTAAAGTAGGAAACCTAGGTGCGAATTTAAAGCTCTGATATAGAAAACAATACCTATCTTAATTGCAGTAGCGCAGCTCAAGAAATAAAAAAACGGAAAAGCAATTAAAAGTTTCTGCTTATTTATGCAAGGTTGGTTTGGAAACCATCGCAAAAAAAGAAATTAAATTTACGCGTTTAAACTCAGCTGCTATCTACCATGAAAACCAATGTTTCCAGAAAGACCATCAACACCCACATTTACTTAAAAAAAAACCATGTAATAAATAACAAAAGTGCCGACAAGCAGGTGCATATGATGAAAGCGAGTAACAACAAAAATCTATTCTAAAAGCTACTGTGGTTTTTATGCATTTTTTGATTTATTAAAATGAAAGGACTTGAAATGATTAAATGTGAAAGTTTACGAATAAATATGTACCGAATAACACACACGGGAAAATCAGTAAATTTTCCCGTAACAACATGCATGAATTTCATTGTTGTATGTATGATCGTTGTCACTCAAATGTCAGTTCAGCAGCAAACACAAAATTCCAGATGGTTCAATTTTAAA